ACAATGCAGATTTATTTTCACAGCCTTCTTTGATCATATTTACCAAGGGTGCCAATAATTCTGACCACGACTGTATGTGTGGGGGGGGGACATCACATGAAAGCTGAATAAATAAGCTTTCCACTGATGTATGGTTTGTTAGGATTGGACAATATTTGGCCGAGAAAATCTGGAATCTGAGGGTGCAAAAAAATCTAAATATTGAGAAAATCATCTTTAAAGTTGTCCAAATGAAGTTCTTAGCCATGCATATTACTAATCAAAAATTAAGTTTTGTGCTCCAGGGTCACATATTTAGTTGAAAGCGTGTGTTGTGTGCAGCGGGGCAGCTGACGGGCGTCTCGTCTCCGGAGATGTACCGTCAGTGTCTCCTCGCCGGGTGCCGCTGTCTGGAGCTCGACTGCTGGAAGGGCAAACCTCCGGATGAAGAGCCAATCATCACCCACGGCTTCACCATGACAACCGAGATCCTCTTCAAGGTGGGTTCCTCCAATCGGAGCTCTCGCTGTGATTATGGGATGCGCAGTGGAGGCTCATAATCAATGCAAGCTAAACGTGAAAATCGGGAGCAGCTCTTGCAGTAACTTCACCTCAACTGAATTAAAAACTAAATACCCAGATACGTATAAACAGCCTCGTGAAAAAGCACACTTTTAAAAAAAGCGTACTTATTACAGAAATTTAATTCTTTAAAAGAATATACTTGTGTTTTTGTGCACTTAATTGCATGTTAGTTGCAATTAAACTGTATTATAGTTTAAATTTGTGTTAAATTAAATTATATGAACTTTAGAGTGCTTTTTGACCCACCTAAGTACATTTTTATATGTAATTTTATCATTATTTCTATTGTCTTTGAAATGTGGTTAAAGTTTACTGCCCAGTGTATTGACAAAGTATTATAATGATTTAAAATGTGCTTTAGTATGTTAGTCAACTTATTTAAAGCATGACAAAAAAAAGTATTCAAACATAATTATTTAAAATATACTTTAAAATGTAAAAAAAAAAAAAAATCTAATTGGAATATATTTAATTAAATTCATTAAATTAAACAAAAACTTTGAAATAAAAAATAATAAAATAAATTAAAAACAATAAAAATAAATAAATAAATAACATAACATAACATAAATAAAATAAAGAAATAAAATAAATAAATAAATAATAAATAAAATAAAATAAAATAAAATGACAACCAAACCTAACTAAACTAAACTAAACTAAACTAAAATAAAATAATAAAATAAAATAAAATAAAATAAAATAATAAAATAAATGGTGACCAGTTACATGAAATAACATAAACTGGTAACACTTTACAAAAAAGTTCCATTTATTAACATCAGTTAAATATATTACTTAACATGAACTAACAATGAAAACTACTTCTAAAGCATTCATTAATCCTAGTTATTGTTAAGTTAAACATTTTAAATTATTAAAATTATTAAAATCAAAAGCATTAAAACATAATAATTTAAAATGAACTTTAACATAATCTAATTTGTCATTATTGCCAAGTGCAATTTAATGGCCTTTTTGTTTCATTAATATTATATTATCTACAGTTTTTTTAAATATACTTTTAAGGTTTGAAGTACACTACAAGTGCGCATTCAGTGTGATTAAGTGGACTTCTTTTCTTCACAAGGGTAAAGAATGTTCTTTCTTCATGACAGGATGTGATTGAAGCGATCGCTGAGAGCGCCTTTAAAACATCCAAGTATCCTGTGGTCCTTTCCTTTGAGAACCACGTTGATTCGTAAGACACTTTAATATTTGATTGACAAATGAACACATGTTGCTCCTCACACTGCAGGCTTGCTGGTGTGATATTTCGGATGTGATATAAATGTGTTTGTTTCAGAGTGAAGCAGCAGGAGAAGATGGCCAACTACTGCAGGACGATCTTTGGAGACGCTCTGCTCGTTGACGTACTGGACAAATATCCTGTGAGTTCACATGTTGGGTTCAAACGCTTCATATTTGTGACCCTGGAGCACAAAACCAGTCATAAGGGTCCATTTTTCGAAATTGAGATTTATGCATCATCTGAAAGCTGAATAAATAAGCTTTCCATTGATGTATGGTTTGTTAGGATAGGACAATATTTGGTCGAGATACAACTAAATACAACTAAAATGCGATTAAAAATGATAAAATTAAATAAATTAAAATAAATGGTGACCAGTTGCACAAAGTAAAATTAACTTTACATTAAGATTACATTAGTTCACATTTACATTTACATTAGTTAACTATATTGGTTAACATGAACTACCAATAAAATATTTCTAAAGCATTTCAAATTGACAAGTGAAGACAAAAATGTAATTAAACATAAAATAAAAGAATAAAATAAATGGTGTTGTTCATTTTAGTTATATTACTTTACATTATTATTTAGTTACATTTTGTTAACATTACTTAATATGAACTAAAAATAAAAAATACTTCTAAATAAAAAAAAATACCTCTAAAGCATTTCAAATGGACTAGTGGCGATGAAAATGTGATTAGAAATGATAAATAAAATAGTTACATGAACTAAAATTAACAATTTGCAATAAAGATCTATTTGTTAACTATATTATTTAATATGAACTAATAATAAAAATATTTATAAAGCATTTAAAATAACTAGAGAAAATTACAAATAAATAAAATAAAATAAAATATAAAATAAATAAAATAAAATAAAATAAAATAAAATAAAATAAAATAAAACAGTAACACTTTACAGTGAGGTTCAGTTTGTTAACATTACTTATCTACATTAGTTAACAATGAATGATACTTCTAAAGCATTCACTAATCTTAGTTATTGTTAATTTGAACATTTACTAAAACATCATTAAAAGCAAAAGTTGTATTTTGATGTTTTTTAACAGACCTGAGCTAGCATTGAATGGTTATATTTTTATTAATGTTAACTAGTTCTGTCAAACGATTAATCGCATCCAAAATAAACGTTTTTGTTTACATAATATATGTGTGTGTGTTATGTAT